ATCAAAAAAATAGGGGTTTTTTTTTTTTTTTTTTTTTTTTTTTACATTTTTGTCGTAGAACTATAATGATAAAAAAAATACAAGAACTAATTTTAAAAATTATTTATTTTTTAGGTTATCTAAAATGTAAATTTAAAATAATAAAATAAATATTTTATTATAATGAATATTAAAAACTACACTTACAACAGCTATATTAATTTAATTTTAATTTTACTTTCTTAAATTCAAATTTGAATTGCAATTCTACCTCCAGTTTGTTACCTCAGTTCAAATTGTTTTTAAAAAAGGAATATTTACAAATATGCCAGAGAAAAATTCTAATAATATGTAGTAATTTGTCGGGTCTGTTGGTTCAAATATATATATAGTTAAAAACCTGCATGCCAAAACAAATTTCAAGAAAAATGAGGCTTAAAGTCCAAAATCCAATAGAACAATTGTTTCTTTAAATTTGCTTGGTGTGTGGATTAAAATGAAAAAAATCTGTATTGTGCAAAACATAGTACTAAAACCAACAATTTAATTCTGCTTTCTTATATTCAAACTTGAATTGCAATTCTACATTCTGTTTGTTACATCAAAAATTAATATTTACAAATAGGTAAGTTTTGTGACGCATATGTAGAAAATAATTTTGTCGGGTTTGTTGCTTCAAAAAAATATCTTCATTTAAAATCCACAGAATCCACGTCAAATCAAAATGAAAGAAAAATGAGTTTGTTTGTTGTGTGGGTTCAACTTTATTCATACAAATAAATCTGGAGTAAAATCTTGATTTGACTGGGAATGTTGCACAATAAGGGTCCATAAGGGCGTATTTTTCTCGTTGAGCGTTTGTCCCGTGGCGCCGTCCGGAGCTGATTTGTGTTCAGTGAGCCCCCCGTCAGGCTTTAATTCGCCTCTTAAATCCTCCACAGGCCTCCTGCAGCGGGACTCTGACCGCGCTGTAACCGCTGCTCATTACAGTCTGACAGCAGCTTCGGTCGCCGTCTCGAACCGCTTTAATCGTCTTTAGGGGTTTTGTTTTGGATGGAATATTTTAAAGGATATTTTCCAAGAAATATATTGCTCCGATTTGGGCTTAGTGATGTGATGAAACCTCTAACACTTAGTATTAAAGTTGAGAAGTCTCTTCTGTTCAGCAAGGCTCCATTTATTTGATTAAAATAGTTAAAAATTGTGAAATATTATTACCATTTGAAAGAACTATTTTCTATGTGATTATATGTTAAAATGTAATTTATTCCTGTGATCAAAGCTGTATTTTCAGCATCATTCCTCCAGTCTTCAGAGTCACATGATCTTCAGAAATCAGTTTAATATGCTGCTTTGCTGCTCAAGAAACATCTCCGATTATTATCAATGGTGAAGGATTCTTTGATGAATAGAAAGTTCAAAAGAACTGCATTTATTTGAAATGTCTTTACTGTCACTTTTGATCAATTTAATGCATCTTTGCTAAACAAAAGTATGAATTTCTGTAAAAGAGATCTAAAAACAAATGAATAAATAAATCCCTGAAACCCATATGTCATGTAATAAAAAATAAAAAAAAGTAAAAATCTGCTGATTTATTATTATGGTCGTGAGTTTTCTTGTCTTTTTATTTGGCATTTAGCAAATGTAACAGTTAATTAGCACGAGGACCGTTATGTTACTGCAGTTTTCTGGAAAGGCGGCTCCCTCTCCAGTCACAGGAAGCCAGATATTGACTTCCTGTTTTGTGGTCTGAGCTCTTCCTGCTTAAGAAGCTCAGAAGGGTTTGGTGAGAGCGAATGGGTGGTGCGTTTTTCCGTTTGGAGGAATTTATAGCTGCTCGTTTGAATTCTAAAAATTTCAAATGATTATTTCCTGCCAAATAATCTCACTCAACATACATATAATACATCCTGATTTTCAAATAAAAATGAGTAAAATCAATACGAGAAAGGAAAATAAATCAAATCAAATCAAAGAAAATAAAAAATATGTATGATGAAGTAAAATATAAAAGTATTACTTCCTGCCAATTGATCTCTCTCATAATACAGAAAAAAAAGAAATAAATAATAATAAAGTAAAAATTAAGTCCGTCAAAAAATACAAAAATAAATATAAAATAAAATATAATATATTATTTCCTGCCAAATAATCTCATTTAAAATACTTAACATATATCCTGCTTTTCAGATAAAAAAAAAATCAAGAATAAAGTCATTGAAATAACATAAAATAAAATATAAATAAAAATCTATATAAATATACAATAAAATGTAAAACTCCTGCCAAATAAAATATTTCCTGCTCACATCAAGATACATAAAATACATCCTGCTTTTGAAATAAAAAAAAATCAAGAATGAAATCAATAAAATTAAATAAATCAAAATACATAAAATGACAGAAATGAAATGCCTAGTGAATGTCGTTTCATGTGTTTAAAGTGTTGTGCGAATGAGTAATTTTCGTGTTTCTGTCTCCTCCCACAGACCGTGAGGACCAATCGATTCTCTGCACGTGAGTCACATGACCCTGCATGTGTGCGTCTTATGATTTGATCATTAAAGATGTGTTGATTTCTCATGTCTGTGTGTTTGCGTGTGTTCAGGGGCGAATCTGGAGCCGGAAAGACAGAAAACACCAAGAAGGTCATTCAGTATCTGGCCCACGTGGCCTCATCCCACAAAACCAAGAAAGACCAGGTTAGTTCTTCTTGCGTTCTCCACCCTGCTTTCATCTGGTCTCACATGGTCTTATCAGATCAGGCCGAGCCGGAGGAATGCGGGTTGTTTTGGGGGATGGGAGGGACTTTAACGCAGTTCATAAACATCGTAATCCATTAGAGAAGGAAACCGTTCACAAACTGCCCAGTCCACTTTAATCCACCCAGACATTTAAAGGATGCCAGACATCCATTGTAACGTTACAAGCCAAATATATAGCATCACATGGAAATTTTAAGATTTTAAGATACATTTTTTTTAAATACTTTTCCAACAAATGGTCAGTGAAAAGAGGCGCTTAACCGTCATGAAATGAAACTAAATAAAACCAAGCTAAATGTTTTTTTTTTTGTATAAATTTACTTATTTTTGTATTAATTTTATGCGTTATTATATTTATTTTTGCAAGCGTGTTTTGCATATTTCTGCATATAGTTTAAATCAGATTTCAAAACCATTTATTCATTTATTTATTAGCATACGCATTTTTGCATACTGTAAAATACATAAAAACTAAAATAGAAATGTATTTATTTATTTGTTTTATACTTACTGATTTTGCGTATTTCTGCATATAACAAAGCCTGTTTGGTCAATTTTCCGCATGTAGTTTCAGTCAGATTTAAAACCTTATTTATTTATTGTTAATTATTTTAGCATACTTTTTATATATATTTGAATACACATTAAAATATACATAAAATTAAATAAGATTTATTCAAAATGAAGTCTAGTTTGCAACCAACTTTTGATTTGTATTGATAATTGATGATAAACTCTCATAAATGAAAGTGAAGTATTTAATCTTTTCTCACAATAACTTTGGTAACCGGGTTGAATGATTGAGCTTAACTAGTTCAGGTTTGGTAAAACATTTGTCCTCATTTGCACCTTATTCATGGAAACACTGTACAAAACTCAAACCTGTGAGTGTTTAGTGAAAATAAATGAAGTGTTTTGTGGGATTGGGTCCAGATCCGTCCCTGATGTTTCTGTTGGTCATTATCGGCCGATCGCTGGATCTGGCCTTTGGCTGTAAGTTGATGGTTTGAGTGTTTTTCTCTTTATACCAACAGAGCAGCTCGGTCCTGTCACATGTGAGTTACATCTCTCCATCTGTCTCTCTCTGTCTCATTCATGTCTCACTGTTATCTCTCCGCTGCTGGGTGAACAACCGAAGCCGAACGCACAGCGATTCAGACACATGACACCGAGAGCCAGATCATATTTCACCCCAAAATCAATAGGCTGCATTCAGAAAAAGAGACTCGTTTGAAAACCCGGCTGTAAATGTGTTTGATTTGGGTGAAAATAATGTCAAAATGCAGAAACAAATGGTTGAAGGGTTCGTTTAGTTTTAAAGCAGTTTTGGGGTTAAATATGATCCAGATCCTGACATTGTTCACTGAGATTTGTCAAAATAAATTGTGTAAATTGAGATTTATGTGATCATTAGGGCTGGGTAGTGAGAAATGTTATGATTTGATTCAATTCACAAGCTTCCGATTCGGTATAAATTCATTTGGATATACAGGCAATCAGCTACAGTATAAGTCTGGGGTTTTTTTAAAGGAAGAAATCTTTCAACTAGTGCTGTAAACTATAAAACAAACCCGGTCAGTTGGTACTTATTATATATTAATGTGATTTGTAAACAAACATTTTAATGTCTTTATAATAAATGTCTATATCTTTTCAATTATATAATTATGTTTCTACTCCAGTTTGTTCTTTAAATATAAACATTTAAACCGTACATGTCATAACTTTTCATGAGGGATTTATTCAAACCTACTAAATATCGAAGAACAGGTTAGGAAAAAATATAATGCATATATTTCGCAAAATTCGCCTTTCTAGTTTATTTGTCTTGCTAACTATGGCGTTTATGGACAATGAATGTCATTCCTGAGGTAAATGTGACGTTAAGTGATATTGTTTACAAGCGGTTGAAACACTGATTGATCGATGATATGATTCATGTCAGTAAGTTGTGATGTATCTCTACATACCTTCTGCTGTTCGTTCATTGTTATTTCGTGTAGTAACTGGCAGAATGAGGGAAAGATGATCGGTTCACGTCACTTCTTTTGAACTGAGGCGGCTAACCGTCGTGCCACTTTAAAGAGCGCCAAAATGTCTCTGAATTTCGTAAAATAACTGACAGAATTGGAAAGCTGAGACCTTGTTTCATATCAAAAGTAATAAGGCATAAAGTTTATTGCGATTTATTGGATGGATATTTTATAATATTAATAATATTTTGTTCACACATCAAACCGGACACAGCACAGATCACTTCTGGGGATTTAAGAATCGAAATCGCTTCAGCAAAATGAGAATTTTCGACATTTTCACCCCAGCTCTAGTGATCATATTAACATGTTCGGCTCTCAGTCTCACTTCTCATGTGTCTGAATACCATGGTGAATCTGTCTGTGTTTCTGCGCTCATGAGTTTTGGGTTTGATTTCTGCTGTTTGAATTAAGTGTGTGTGTGTGTATGTATTTGATTCAGTCGCCCGCGCGAGCCTCCCGCGGCACGAATCATGACGTCAGCGAACACGACCGTTGCTGGAAAGTTCTGGCGCGTTTAACGAGCCTCGCTTTACGAGAGAGAGAGAGAGCATGTGAAACGGTTTACAGAGGAGCTGCGGGGAAACTTCACATGATTTGAACAACATGATGATCGTTAGTTTCTGTGTTAAAAGAGGGAATAGTTCTGCTTGTGCAACAACTTGGCATGTGGGAAATATTTTCTAAATTGTGAAAATGCTTTTCTAGGCGGAGGTGATTGTACTGATGTCATTGATTTGGGTGGAGTTTAATTCATGTAAATGAGATGATCAAGCTCCGCCCACTAGAAGTCCACACATTTTACATATGCGTATATAACACTGGAGTATTTAGACATTTTTAACTCAAGAGTGAATGTATGAATTTCACATTTCTCCTTTTAAACTCCATTCCAAGTGTTTTACTATGAACATGATTCCCATTCTTTTATAGACACTTGAGCCTCAAGTTAAAGAGATTTTATGAGGAAGTTTTATTTTATTCTAATTACTATAGTGTTGTAGTTTTTAAAAGTAATTTTAGTAAAAGTTTTAGTAATTTTAATTGTTCTTATTTTGCAGCTTTCTTTTTCATTTTATTTAACGTTTTAGTAATTTTCTTGTGTTTCTGTCATTTTTATTAGTTTTTTTTTATTTTGCAGTTTTCATTTTAATTTTAGTCAAAGTTTTAGTAATTTTGTTGTGTTTTGCCGTTTTTATTAGTTTTTTAGTTTTCATTTTAATTGGACAGTTTTAGTAATTTTGTTGTGCATTTTTGTCATTTGTATTAATTTTTCATTTGTTTTCTTGATTAGTAGTTTTCGTTTTATTGTTAAAATGTACAAAAAACAACAGTATATTTTGTTTTTTTGTCATTTTTATTAGTTTTTCAATGATTTTTAATTTTAGTTGAAAGTTTTAGTCATTTTGTTGTTTTTTTTGTCATTTTTCTACGTTTTTTTTTTTTTTATGTCTATACAGTTTTTATTTATTTATTTAGTACCTAAACTGAAAGTAAACAAAAATGAGAAATGTTGCCTTGGAAACTAATTGAAATAAAATAAGTTATTTGATGTTTTATTTTATTTCAAGTAAAGAAAGGGTTTTATGATTTTAGTTCTAGCTTTAGTTAACGATATAACCATGGCACCAGATGCTGCATAGAGCTGAAGTTGTGTTTAAGCTGGAATATTCCTTTAAAGTGAATGAACGTTTGTGTTTGTGTGAGATGAGTGTCAGATTTAAGATCATGTGGTCATTGGTTTGATGTTTTCGGAGGTGACGGGCCGCTCACTTTCGTGGTGGTTTGGGATGGGGGATCAGAATGTGCTTATCTTTGTATGTTTGTTTCAGCTTATTTGCTCTTCTGTGCGCAAAAAGCTTGTGATGTTGTGTTTAAGAGCTTTGCTTTTGACAGCCAGACGTGATCAGCTCTTCACAGTGATTTGTTTGAACTGAACTGATGTGGATTGGTATGTTTTTGAGCGCAGGGTGAGCTGGAGAAGCAGCTGCTGCAGGCCAATCCTATCCTCGAAGCCTTCGGCAATGCCAAGACAGTCAAGAACGACAACTCTTCTCGATTCGTAAGTCTTCCCGTTATGGCAGACTTTTCACACATTAGTCTGGCTCTAAATGTGTGTGATTTATCTTTTGTGTTTTCTGTGTTTTAGGGCAAGTTCATCAGAATCAACTTTGACGTTAACGGGTACATCGTCGGAGCCAATATTGAAACCTGTATCTTTATGAGCTAGTTAATATGACATGGTTTTCAAAATATGAAAAAGAAGCTTTTTCAATTGAAATGGTTAAATCCGGGTCATTATCACTTAGATAAGGGGATTATGGCTGATTTGCATATTTTTTATAACATTTATTGGAGGATTTACAGACCACAACTAGAGCATGACCTGTTTTTAATAACCGCTTGTGAATCTGTGAAAATGTCACAGATGTGACATTTGTAGAGAAAAATTCCATTAATCACTCCATTTAAAAACAAAAAACAAAGTTTGACAGAGGTGCAGATGCAAATTATATTAGTATTTTTATTTTACTTTTTAACATTAATCTTTTAAATGCCCCAGTCCTCACTTTTTGACATTTTTAATAATTTCATGTTTAATAAATGCTAAAAGACTAATGATCGTTTCTGTGACTGTACAATGAGCATAGAGCGTCTGCTAAATGTTTATATAATTAATGAGGTAAGAACTGAAACTGGTTAATAAAGACCCAGGCTGTTGAAAGCCTTCATGTGAATATTCGTGCATCCGTTCTGTTGTGTGTCCTTGACTCTGACCGTCAGACCTGTTGGAAAAGTCCCGTGCAATCCGTCAAGCTAAAGAAGAAAGAACCTTCCACATGTTCTACTACATGCTCACCGGTGCAGGAGACAAACTGCGCTGTGGGTGTCCTTCGCTGCTTTAATACATGATTTCTGAACCTATATATTACTAAAATAGTAGGATGAGACTCTTATGTTTATGAATGAATGTAAATTAATCAATCAGTTTCTTCATTCATCAGCTGAACTCTGTCTGGAGAGCTACAATAAGTACCGGTTCCTGTCCAATGGGAACGTGACGATCCCGGGACAGCAGGACCGAGACATGTACCTGGAGACCATGGAGGCCATGAGGATCATGGGCTTCTCTGAGGAAGAACATATCGGTGAATATATACTACCGTTTTCAAACATGACAATATTATTTGTAATATGTTTGAGGTTTTTAATTGCGTGTGTCGCCCCCTGCAGGTCTTTTGAGGGTCATTTCATCTGTGCTACAGCTGGGTAATATGTCCTTTAAGAAGGAGCGTCACTCGGACCAGGCCTCCATGCCTGATGACACAGGTAAACACATCTTTATGACTTTACAAACACTTCCATCAGGCCTTGTGCTGTTAATCTGTAGCTATATTATCACCATAAAGTTAGCTGGTGGTTTTACATGGTTTCTAACAATTCATTAACTTGTCCAAACTGGTTGAAAATGGTCATTAGCTGTTCCATAGTGGTTATTAACTGCTACAAGCTGGCAAATAAATGTCATTAACTGGTCCAACTCATCAAAAATAGTCATTAACTGTTCCAAAATTATCAAAAATTACATTAGTTGTGTCTAAACTGGTCAGAAATGCTCATTAGCCAGTCCAACTTGGTCAAAGATAGTTATTAGCTAGTCCAAGCTATCCAAAAATGGTTATTAGCTGGTCCAAACTGGTAAAATGGTCATTAACCAGTCCAAACTGGTCAAAGATAGTTATTAGCTGGTTCAAGCTATCCAAAAATGGTTATTAGCTGGTCCAAACTGGTTGAAAATGGTCATGAGCTTGCCCAAATTGGTCAAAAATGGTAATTAATTACTGCATGCTGGCCAAAAATTTTAATTAACTGGTCCAAAATGGTCATTAACTACTACAAGCTGGCCACAAATGGTCATTAGCTAGTCCAAACTGGTCAAAAATGGCCATTTGCTGCTCCAAAACAGCAAAAAAATGGTCATTAGCTGCTACAGATTGTCGTATATGGTAATTAGCTAGTCAAAAATGCTTGAAAATGGTCGTGAGCTGGTCCAAGCTGCCGAAAAATGGTCATTAGCTGGTCTAACTGGTTGAAAATGGTCATTAACTGCTACAGGCTGGCCAAAAATAGTCATTAGCTGGTCCAACTAGTCAAGAACAGAAATTAGCAGTTTCAAACTGATTGAAAATGATCATGAGCTGCTCCAAACTGGCTAAAAATAGTCATTAGCTGGTACAACTGATCAAAAATGGTTATTAGCTGGTCAAAACTGCTCATTAGCTGGTCCAAACTTGTCAGAAATGGTCATTGCTGGTCCAAACTGGTCTGAATGTTTAATTAGCTAGACTACCAGCTGATGAGGCCAAGGTTGACCTGGTAGAACCTCGTAGTCAGGCTAGTTGAGGTATGTAGAGAAGGTAAACCAGCAGTTTGTGTTGTTATCAGTTACTATTTCCAAACGACTTTCCCTTCACTTCTCCAGCTGCCCAGAAGGTGTGCCATCTGATGGGCATGAGCATGACTGATTTCACACGTGCCATCCTCTCGCCCCGGATCAAGGTGGGCCGCGACTACGTGCAGAAGGCCCAGACGCAGGAGCAGGCTGAGTTCGCTGTAGAGGCTCTGGCCAAAGCCACGTATGAGAGGATGTTCCGCTGGCTGGTGATGCGCATCAACAAAGCTCTGGATAAGACCAAACGTCAGGGCGCCTCCTTCATCGGCATCCTGGACATCGCCGGCTTTGAGATCTTTGATGTATGGCACAGTCCTTCAACCTCAAGGGTGCTTACAGTGGGATAGCCCACAATTCCTAGCAGTAACTGTGTTTCTGTTCCTCCCCGCAGCTAAACTCGTTCGAGCAGTTGTGCATTAACTACACTAACGAGAAGCTCCAGCAGCTCTTCAACCACACCATGTTCATCCTGGAGCAGGAAGAGTACCAGCGCGAGGGCATCGAGTGGAGCTTCATTGACTTCGGCCTCGACCTGCAGCCCTGCATCGAACTCATCGAGAAACCTGTTAGTGTCCTCCACCATTCGTGTGACTCCTAGAACGATCATGTGACCTTTAATGGAGCTGTTTTCATGTTTAAGATTGGGTTTGATTTCCATTATGTCTTCATGATCTTCTGCTGTTGTAGATAGAAAGGTAGTAGCTGATTTTACATGGCTTCTAGTAGGTCAAAGCTGCTTCAAGTTGGTTTATAAGGTAAATTAGCTAGACTACCAGCCAATGGGGCCAAGAATGACCTGGTACATCATCCTAGAGAAACTGGTTAGAGCAGGTAGAGAAGGTAATCCAATGGCAGTTATTATTTCTGAACAACTCCACCAATTGCGTAACCCCTAGAATGACCATGTGACCTTTAATAGAACTGTCTTCATGTAAAGATATTAGTCAGAATTGAGAACTTAGAAATCCATTATTTTAAAAATACTAAATTCAGTTTGATTTCAATGTCTTTTCTTCTGTTGATGTAGATAGAAAGGTAGATGGATTGCATGGTCTTAGCTGTTCCAGGCTGGTTAAAAATGGGCATTAGCCGGTCCAAACTGGTTGAAAATGATTATTAGCTGACCAAGAAGGTCAAAATTGTCATAAGCTGGTTTAAATTGGTCAAAAATGGTTATTAGCTGGACCAAGATGGTCAAAAATAGCCATTAGCTGGACCAAACTGATTGAAAATGGTCATTAGCTCATCCTAGCTGGACATAAATAGTCATTAGTTGGACCAAGATGGTCAAAATAGTCATTAGCTGGTCTAAACTGGTCCAGAACGGTTGTTAGCTGGTCTAAACTGGTTAAACATGGTCATTAGCTGGACGGAGATGGTAAAAAATGGTTATTACCTGCTCTAAACTGGTTAAACATGGTCATTAGCTTGTCCAGACTTGTTGAGAATGGTTATTACCTGGTCAAAAATGGTCATTAGCTGGTCCAAAGGTGATGAAGCTGGCTTCTGCTGATGATGAAGACTTTGATTGTAATCTGTGTTGTGGGTTTCCAGGCGAGTCCTCCAGGAATCCTCGCTCTCCTGGACGAGGAGTGCTGGTTCCCCAAAGCCACGGACAAGAGCTTCGTGGAGAAGGTCCTGCAGGAGCAGGGGACGCACTCCAAATTCCACAAACCCAAGAAACTGAAGGACGAGGCGGATTTCTGCATCATGCACTATGCTGGAAAGGTGTTGACATGCTCCTCGGCTGAACGCATGTGAGATTTCATAGCCTTATTTGGGAATTTGACACATCTGTGATTGTGTTTCTCAGGTGGATTATAAGGCGGACGAGTGGCTGATGAAGAACATGGACCCGCTGAACGATAACGTGGCCACTTTGCTCAATCAATCCACCGACAAGTTCGTTTCAGAGCTGTGGAAGGACGGTGAGTCGATATATCACATTGGATCAGCTCTTAAATTAATAGGTTGTGGAGGAAGACTATAAATGATGAAGAGATGTGTAGGACACAAGGGCGTGAAGCTTTTAAACTCAACAAAGGGAAACAATGACTAACATTTACACTCTGGGCACCTTTTTCATGCCAACATTGGTGGAAACTTACTGGATTTGTTGTCTTCTGCTGGTGTTTGGTCCTTTGTTTCTTCCCCTCTCCATCCATCCATCCAACCATCCACCCCTTGTTTCACGTCCTCCTGGACCTCTGTACACACCATCTCCCATCTGTCCGTCTCTCTCAGAGGTCCAGAACTGTCAGAGAGCTTATTTCTATCAGCGTTTTCCTTTCCTTCATTTAGAGCCAGGTGACATCTTTGGTTTTTCTCTCTCTCTCTCTCTCCTGTGACGTTCTTTTCCTCCTCCATCTCCATCAGCTGTCCTGCGTGACTGTTTTTCTCTGAGGTGTTGAGATATATCTGATATTTCTGCTGTCTCTCCTCTCTGTGTAATATAGTGTGCTTTGGCGCCCCTGCTGTTGGTCTGTGGTACTGCAGAAATGGGTATAAACTGCATGGGTTTGGTTCTGTTCTCACCAGTGAAACATGACCACAGTATGCAGTTACACACACTCACAGGGTCCAAAATTCACTTTAGCTAAATCTGACAATGACGGCTGTAAAAACAATTTGTGAATTATATCTGGGGAAATATTCATTTTTACTTCATGAAAATAATATTATATTATATAATTATTTAGCTTTTTTTCTCCACTGGGTTTCAGCATCATACTCTAGCCAGTCTCACAAAAACATATAATGATGTGCAAATATCAATTTTTTACTTAATTTAATGCATTAAATATAATATATATGTAAATATATTTTTCAATAGGTTTATATTTATTAAGTTAAATATATTTTAACTGCAATTTAAATAAACATTTATTATATATGTATTATATAGATATATTTTCAGTGCACTGTATTTTAATGCATTATGTACTTTCTACAATATATTTGTTGATGGAAATTACTTCAAATCAGTGCTATTTTAGTATTTTTTATATTTATATATAGTTTTTTATTTTTATATTTTCAGTTCTCATTGAAATTCAGTATTTGGACTTTCTTATGTGCTTTAGTCATTTTATTTGTGTGTGTTTTTTTTACTACTATGTAAGTTTAATGTTTTCATTTATTTTTACGTATTTTAATTTCTTTATATTTAATGTGTGTATATATATATATATATATGTATATATATATATATAGTTTACATTTTTTGTTTTGTTTAATTATGGTTTACATCTAGTATTTATATTTTATAATAAACTAATACAGCCTTATTTCAGTTAACAATCACCAGCATCGTGTGTGTCTGTGGTTTGTCACCAGTGCTGACGTGTGTTCGGCCCACTGAACTGTGGGTAGTTTTCACATCATGACCAGACTGCATGCCTTAGATGAAGCCCTTGCAGCGCGGTGACTGTCTGTCTCTCTTTCTGTGTGTCTGTCTCTCAGTGGACCGTATCGTGGGTCTGGATAAGGTGGCCGGCATGTCGGAGCTGCCGGGTGCGTTTAAGACCCGTAAGGGAATGTTCCGGACAGTCGGGCAGCTCTATAAGGAGCAGCTGTCCAAACTCATGGCCACGCTCAGAAACACCAACCCCAACTTCGTCCGCTGCATCATTCCCAACCATGAGAAAAAGGTACCAACTGCTCAGCATACAGGAATAGATTGTGTTCCTTAAAAAATATCTATAATAGCATTCACACCAGCAACGATAACTATATAGTTAGAGCTAAGAGTTAGCTATAATGATTACTGTGTTAGTATCCACGCCAAGAACGATAACTGTAAAGATAGCTATAACGATAACAATATTAATGTCCACACCAAGAACGATATCTGTAAAGATCGCTATAACGATAACACTATAACCAGAACTATATTAGTTTACACTTATAAAGATAACTATATTAGCGTTTACACTAACATACAGTAACTATAAAGATAGCTATAACGATAACTATATTTTAACATCCACACCAAGATCGATAACTTTAAAGATCGTTATAACGATAATTACATTAAAGTTCACACTTATAACGTTAACTATATTAGCATCCACACCAAGAACGGTAACTATAAAGATAACGATAACTATATTAACTGTCATGACAAGAACGATTACTGTGAAGATAGCTATAATAACTATATTAGCATCCACACAAACAACAATAACTATACTATAACGATAACCATATTAGCATTTGCACCAACAACGATAACTATATTAGTGTCCCCACCAAGAACGATAACTATAAAGATGGTTATAACAATAACAAGAACGATTACTGTAACTAGGACGATAACTATATTAGCATTCACACCAAAAACAGTAACTATAAAGATAACAATAATAAATAATAGCTATAACAATAACTATTAGCATCCACACCAAAAACGATAGCTATAATGATAACTATATTGATGTCCACAACGAGAACAATAACTATAAAGATAGCTGTAACAATAACTTTATTAGCATTCATGCCAATAACGATAACTAAAAATTACAAAAATTTGCAAATTGTGCAATTTGAGCAAACAGAATATGCACAGTTAGAAAACTTAGACTGTGTGCGTACTATGCTTGATTCAATTTAGATTGCGCACACTGTATGCATACTTTAGCGTACATGTAAAAAACGGAAGTATACTTTGGGATTAATTTGCTTAATTTGAATTCCTGAATTCATCGTAAGCCTTTGCGTTTTGTGTCTCTGTCCATCTCAGGCTGGTAAGTTGGACCCTCACCTGGTTCTGGATCAGCTCCGGTGTAACGGTGTGCTGGAGGGAATCCGTATCTGCAGACAGGGATTCCCCAATCGCGTCGTCTTCCAGGAATTCAGACAGAGGTTTGCTGCTTTCTCTGAGCGCAACTTTTCACATTAATAAATTAGTTCTTCAGAATACACTTTTAAGAATCTTATTCTCTTAGCATCTGAATTTCATTGTATTAGTTCTTACTAATGCTAGACCTGACTGTGTGTTTTTAATTGATGTTAACAGTGGTTTGTGTTTTTTCGCTCAGGTATGAAATCCTCACGCCCAACTCCATTCCCAAAGGCTTCATGGATGGAAAACAGGCTTGCGTGCTGATGGTGAGACCAGTTTTACTGTTAAATAAACTGGTTTCAAGTCATCTGGTGTTACTTTATTAAGTTTCCTATACTGTGTGTCAGATCAAAGCGCTGGAGCTGGATCCCAACCTGTACCGGATCGGACAGAGCAAAGTGTTTTTCCGCGCTGGAGTTCTGGCTCACCTGGAGGAGGAGCGTGATATGAAGATCACCGACGTCATCATTAACTTCCAGGCCTGGTGTCGTGGATACGTCGCCCGCAAGTGAGCATCACGACATGTATAATAGAGTTTAGCGATGAGAGACACGTCAAACTGCTGAAGTCAACTGAACACTTATTTTACACAATATTCACTCAACATGTTTTGCACTATCCAATAACTAAATGATTTGCTGATGAGTTATTGCTAGTCTGACACAGTTGATATCAGTTGGAGGAACGTTGCTATGTGGTTCTTAGCCCGTTTCTAGGGTGTTCTAGGTGGTTACTAGGGTGTTGCTATGTGTCTCTTAGCCAGTTTCTAGGGTGTTCTTAGCCAGTTTATCGGGTTTATTGGTTACTAGGGTGTTACTATATTGTTCTTAGCCAGTTTATTGTATTTAATTGTTGCTAGGGTGTTGCTATGAGGTTCTTAACCAGTTTCTACGGTGTTCTGGGTGGTTACTAGGGTGTTGCTATGTGTCTCCTAGCCAGTTTCTAGGTTGTTCTTAGCCAGTTTATTGTTGGTGGTTACTAAGGTGTTGCTATGTGTCTCTTAGCCAGTTTCTCGGGGGTTCTTAGCCAGTTTATTGGGTTTAGTGGTTACTAGGGTGTTACTATGTTGTTCTTAGCCAGTTTATTGGATTTAGTTGTTGCTAGGGTGTTGTTATGTGGTTCTTAACCAGTTTATTGGGTTTGGTAGTTACTAGGGTGTTGCTATATATCTCTTAACCAGTTTCTAGGGTGTTCTTAGCCAGTTTATTGGGTTTAGTGGTTACTAAGGTGTTGCTATATTGTTCTTAGCCAATTTATTGGGTTTGGTGGTTACTAGGGTGTTGCTTTGTGTCTATTAGCCAGTTTCTAGGGTGTTCTTAGCCAGTTTATTGGGTTTAGTGGTTACAATGGTGTTGCTATGTTGTTCTTAACCAGTTTATTGTGTTTAATTGTTGCTAGGATGTTGCTATGAGGTTCTTAACCAGTTTCTACGGTGTTCTGGGTGGTTACTAGGGTGTTACTATGTGTCTCCTAGCCAGTTTATAGGTGTTCTTAGCCAGTTTATTGGGTTTAGTGGTTACAAGGGTGTTGCTATGTTGTTCTTAGCCAGTTTATTGGATTTAGTTGTTGCTAGGATGTTGCTATGTGGTTCTTAACCAGTTTCTAGGGTGTTTACTAGGGTGTTGCGATATTGTTCTTAGCCAATTTATTGGGTTTGGTGGTTACTAGGGTGTTGCTATGTGTCTCTTTAGCAGTTTCTAGGGTTTTCTTAGCCAGTTTATTGGGTTAAGTAGTTACTAGGGTGTTGCTATGTTGTTCTTAGCCAGTTTATTGAGTTTGGTGGCTACTAGGGTGTTCCTATGTGTCTCTTAGCCAGTTTCTAGTGTGTTCTTAGCCAGTTTATTGGGTTAAGAAGTTACTAGGGTGTTGCTATGTTGTTCTTAGCCAGTTTATTGAGTTTGGTGGTTACTAGGGTGTTCCTATGTGTCTCTTAGCCAGTTTCTAGTGTGTTCTTAGCCAGTTTATTGGGTTAAGTAGTTACTAGGGTGTTGCTATGTTGTTCTTAGCCAGTTTATTGGATTTAGTTATTGCTAGGTTGGTGCTTTGCAGTTCTAGCCAGTTTCTAGGGTGTTCAGGTGGTTGTTAGGGTGCTACTATGGAATTTAAGTGATTGCTAGAGTATAGAGCGTATATAAAAAGACTCTAGACCTACACATGAACTGAAGTCCACAGATCACCAGTACCTCTGTCCTGTTGTGTGTAACGGTGTGTGTGTTTGTCATTCAGGGCGTTCGCTAAGAGGCAGCAGCAGCTGACGGCCATGAGGGTGATCCAGAGGAACTGCGCTGCGTATCTGAAGCTCAGGAACTGGCAGTGGTGGAGACTCTTCACCAAGGTTCACAAACACACACATACATGTTCAAATGTGCTGTTATTCTTGACGTGTGCTCTGTGCTGAGGCCGTGTGTGTGTGTTTCAGGTGAAGCCGCTGCTGCAGGTGAGCCGACAGGAAGAGGAGATGCAGGCCAAAGACGAGGAGCTCAACAAGGTTCGGGAGAAGCAGATGGTGGCTGAACAGCAGCTGAATGAGATGGAGGTCAAACAGCAGCAGGTAACACGATACTGCTGTATTTCCAGTGTTTCACATTAATTATGTTGTGAATTATACATACAATATGAAATATTCATTGTTACTAATATAGGAAAATGTATGTAATTCATAACGTGTAGGTCATATTATAATATGCTTAATTTATAATATATAATTAATGTAATATTTATATATTATAATAGTGAAATATAGCAAAATATGTCATTCATGGTATATAATAATTGGCAAATATAGCATGTCATGATAATAGCATGTATAATTCATAATGATTTATAATTATTTTCTAATATAATTAATGTGAATGTAGCACTCTATGTGCAATTCATGATATGTAATGTAAATTATGCAAAATATAGCATAACATTCAAAATATACATTTTGTTATATGCAGAATTATATATGAAGTATAATATTAATATGAAATAGCATAATTCAAATTGTAAATATAACTAGAAAAATATACTGTAGTTATATAGTATTTATTATGTAAATATATTTACATATGTAAAATATAAAACGATATATAAAATATAGAATAATATATAATTCTATAAATATAATAATGTGTAATTCATATAAAATATGCAAAATCTAGCATAATATATACCTAATTTAAAATATATACATTTTGTAAAGTATAGAGTTATATATGAATAATAGGAATATATAATATATGAATATACATAATCAATGTGAAAATAGAATAATATATAATTAATAATATATAATGTAAAATCTAGGGTTATATAGCGTGTATGTATACATATTTGTGTGTAGATAGATAGATAGCATAATATGTATAATGTATTGTAAATTTATACTAAAATAAATAAAATGTATATATAAAAATTAAATTAAAATAATTTAAATATATATATATATATATATATATAAGTTAGTGTAAATATGTCTTTAACATATTATGATTCTGATGCCTGAGATTATAATAAAATTAAATTAATGTTCTAATACTATGTATTCTTTAATCATTTAATGTAGTTTACCACTATATGGAGCACAGAGAGTGTAATGGTTTGCTGTTTGGATGTGTATTAATCAGTGTTAATTTCGTTGACGAATAATTTTCGCCAACTACATTTTTTTCACTGACGACAACGAGACTATAACGAACTAAAACTCTTTTTGAATGACAAAAACTATGACGAAAATTTATTGACATTTTCGTCAACAGCAACATTTTTGTTTCTACGCCGCAATAGTTGCAAAACATTTATCAGTTAATTGTTTATACCAGTTAATTATCACACTCAGTTAATAAGTAACTTATTAGCTATCTCGGGTAATAGGTTAACAAGTACCACTTGTTTTTAAATATAAAACTAATAAAAAATTAAAAATACTGAAAAAAAAACAACAACTAAAATTTATCTCAGGAAATAAGTTAATAAATACCACCAGAACTTAATAAAATCTTCAAATACTCAATTTTCAGTAAGTCAGCTTAAGTACTTAAAGGTAAATCATTAAAATGACAAATAAATAAATGCATAAAAAATAACTAAATATTATTATTTTTTTAAATGTAAACACAAACTAAAACTAAACAAAAAATTAACACCACCACAATTGAAATCTAGTTGAAAACCTGAAAAAACAACGACATTTTTTTCACCGACGACAACGAACTAAATTTTTTTTTGAATGACAAAAACTATGACGTAAATCTATTAACATTTTCGTCAACGAATAAAAACGAGATGAAAATGTTAGGGAGGGAAGATTTGGGAAGAGATTCATTCAGAAGGAATCTGCTGCGTGGTTCGGAGGTTAGATGCATACATATGAACCGGCGGGACATAAGCTAAAATACACTTAATGCACGTCGCATAAAACGTTAAAAAATGTCAATATGTGGGAGTAAGAGAAGAGCAGACGTATGGATAAATCTGACGACGCAAGAGAGAACTCAATTCGGTCCGGTTTTCTGAGCGCAGACACTGAAGCATACACACACGGAAAGCGCCTCTCACAGCTCGCGAGTACTCTTTCGCGTCGCATGAACGGAGAATTACAAACAAAATGATGTCGAATTGTCCGTTTTGTCGAGTATTCACGTAAACACAGTTGATTACGTCTTAAGTGACCGTAAACAGTAGGGAGAACATGTATCAGTACATTGCATCCATTGCAGCTGTGCTTTCGGTTTTAAAGGGACAGCAGCCTAATTTAGTTGCTATTGTCTGAGTCATTGATGTTAATCAAGCAACAACAGAAAGACAGAAAATCAC